TCACTGTGATGGTAAATAGGTTAAAAAATTATCTATATGAAAAAAATGAGCTAGAATAGTGGGAATGAATTAAAAATAAAAGTTGTTCTATGAAGTAGTAGTGGTTGTTCTCTTGTAGTCTTTTTTTTTTTTTTCTTTCCTGGTTGGTTTTCTGGGGGAAGGGGCCTGCCACGTGGGTTTTCAGTCAATGATGTTCTCTGAGTTAAGTCATCCTGCCCCCCTCAAGGGGGTGGGCTCTGAGGAAACTGGTTTATTCAGGCTTTTGTTCTACAGAGGTTTTTAGGTTTGTTCACTTTTTATTTTTCTCTCTCGCCTTGACAGCTTTTGATGTTTTTTGTAGGTTTAGAGGAAAGCAAACTGTACCCTGACCTCTGTCTCAGAGAGAAGCCTCAGTCTGGCTGCAGAGCCCAAATAAATTACCCCTTGGCTCCTGGCAGAGCAGGTTCAGAGTCGCGGTCCCTGGGGATGCAGGATTTTTTGCTTGTACCCAAAACCATGGCAGCAGAAGCTGTCTGGGCAGCTCCAGACTGCCAGAGAGCTTCCAAGCAGGGATTGCACACTGAGATTTTCCTGCTGGCCCGGGCTGGGAGTGCTTGGTCTTTCTGGGTCCGAGAGCACCAGGCTGGAGCCTGTGCGCACCTCTCTCAGGGGAGGGCACGGGGTGCAACTCGGACTCTTGATAGCAGGGCAGGGCACTCGCCTGGGGACTGCAAAAAGGCTGTGCTTCTGCCGGCTGGTGAGGCTCCCAGCCCTTCATGGTAGCCGGACCCCATGTGCTCTCAGGGACAGCGGACCCCACGCGCTGGTGGCTCAGGGACCAAGACCTGGTTTCTCTGCTGCACTCTGTCTGGCTCTGTGCCAGGAGTGGCTGTCCTGGGTCTGGGGACTTAAGTCCCTGTCCCTAGCTGCCCCGATTCCCACAATTTCCCTCCACCCCCCAGCGATCCTTTGCTCTTTTTGAGTGCTTTCTACCAGACTGCAAGTAAATGCTGGTCCCCAGACGCAGGGCACTCTCACTCTCGTATTGGGATATTACTTTCCAATGGGTCGACTCTGGTGGCTCCCTCCCCCTTTTGTTTATCTTCCGATATCAGTAGGACATTCCCACTCTGCTTTACCTGCCCACTGACGTCTTTTGCTCCTATAGAGATCCAGACGTGTATAATTCTGATCTCAGGCTGATTTTGTGGGTGATCGGAGTTCTTTGGAAGGTAATCAGCTCACTTTAGGGTACAGGTTGAAAGGGTGCCTCCTCCTACTTCCCCGCCATCTTGTCACCACTTCCATACAAATTTTTGGATTGTTTGTTCCAGCACTTTGAAAAATGCCAGTGGAATTTTGACCAGGATGGCATTGAAATGGTGGTATAGACATTTTAACAATGTTTATTCTTCTGATTCATGAGCATGGAATTTTTCCATCTTTTTGTGTCTTCTTCAATTTATTTCATGAGTGTTCTGTAGTTCCTTGAGTACAGATCCTTTACCTCTTTTGTTAGGTTTATTCCCAGGTATCTTATGGTTCTTCATGCTATGGTAAACAGAATCAATTCTCTGATTACCCTTTCTGTATTTTCATTGTTAGTGTATAAGAAAGCAACTGATTTCTGTACATTGATTTTTGTATCCTGCAACATTACTGAATTGCTGTATGAGTTCTAGTTATTTGGGGGTGGAGTATTTTGGATTTTCCATATAAAGTATCATGTCATCTGTGAAGAGAGACAGTTTGACTTCTCCATTGCCAATCTGAATGCCTTTTATTTCTCTTTGTTGTCTGACTGCTGTTGATAGGACTTCTAACTCTATGTTTAACAAGAGTGGTGAGAGTGGGCATCCTTGTTGTGTTCCTGATCTGAAAGGGAAGGCTGTTAGCTTTTCCTCATTGAGGATGATATTCACTGTGTTTTTTTCATAGATATATTTTATGAATTTGAGGAATGTTCCCTCTATTCCTATACCTTGAAGCGTTTTAATCAGGAAAGTATGCTGTATCTTGTCAAATGCTTCTACGTCAATTGAGAGGACCATGTGGTTCTTCTCTCTTCTGTTATTGATTTGTTCTATCACATTGATTTGTGAATGTTCGACCACACTTGCAATCCAGGGATAAATCCCACCTGGTCATGGTGGATAATCTTTTTAATGTACTGTTGGATCTTATTAGTTAGGATCTTGTTGAGAATCTTAGCATCTGTATTCATCAGGGATATTGGTCTGAAATTCTTTTTGGTGGGGTATTTGCCTGGTTTGGAGATCAGGGTAATGCTGTCTTCATAAAAGGAGTCTGGAAGTTTTCCTTGTGCTTCAATTTTTTGAAACAGCTTCAGGAGAATACATATTATTTCTTCTTGGAATGTTTGGTAGAATCACCCCAGAAATCCATCAGGTCTTGGGCTCTAGGGTTTTTGTTTTGTTTTTTTGTTTGCTTGTTTTGTTTTGTTGTTGTTTTGTTTTTTGTTTTTTAAGGATTTTATTTATTTATTTGACAGAGAGAGAGAGAACAGAAGCAGGCTGAGTGAGAGGCAGAGGGGGAGAGAGAAGCAGCCTCCCCGCCAAGCAAGGAACCTGATGTGGGACTCTATCCCAGGATCCTGGGATCATGACCTGAGCTGAAGGCAGCCACTTAACCTTGAGCCACCCAGGCGTCCTTCCTGGGCTCTGGTTTTGATTCAGATTTTTTAAAAATGAAAATTAAAAAAAAACTTTAACCTATATGAGATTCAATATAGTATTTTAGTTAACTGGAGTCTGATCTACTACCACTTTGACAAATAGTCAAGTCTTAGGAAAAAACTCTTTGTAACCAAATGGAAGAAGCAATAGGAAACCAGAAAGCAAACAAACAATAAAGACCAAAGATTGCCCCAATGTGGAGAAAATTGAGTGATAAGAAAGAAAAGTGCAAAAGAGCAATTTCTTTATTTTTGTGGAAATTCAAGGACTTGGTCTTTCATTTCACTCAGATATACAAAACAACAACAACAACAACAACAACAACAAAACAAGGAAGACATAAAAGGATATATTTTAATAATTATTTCACTTTGTCATGATTTTGTACAGTAACATTTTATCGAACTTCCCAAATTTTATTTTATTTCATTTTTAAAGATTTATTTATTTATTTTAGAGAGATACCACATGAGAGGGGGGAGGGATAAAGGGAGGAACAAAACCCTCAAGCTGACTCCGTACTGACTGTAGAGCTCCAAGTGGTGTTAATCCCACGCCCCCTGAAATCATGACCTGAGCCAAAGCCAAGAGTCGGACACTCAACCAATGAGCTACCCAGCTACCCCTAGCTTCTCCCAAATTTTAAAAATGGGCCTTAAAAAATCCTCTAGGGTGCCTGGGTGGCTCAGTGGGTTAAGCCTCTGCCTTCAGCTCAGGTCATGATCCCAGGGTCCTGGGATCGAGCCCCGCATCGGGCTCTCTGCTCGGCAGGGAGCCTGCTTCCTTCTCTCTCTCTGCCTGCCTCTCTGCCTACTTGTGATCTCTGTCTGCCAAATAAATAAATAAAAAAAAAATCTAAAAAAAAAATCCTCTAGAGTTGAGGTGCCTGGGTGGTTCAGTGGATTAAAGTCTCTGCCTTCAACTCAGGTCATGGTCCCAGGGTCCTGGGATTGAGCCCTGCACCAGGCTCTCTGCTCAGTGGGGAGCCTGCTTCCTCCATTCTCTTTCTACCTGCCTCTTTGCCTACTTGTGATCTCTGTGTGACAAATAAATAAATAAAAATCTTTTAAAAAATCCTCCAGAGTCATAGGGAATTTAATAAACTATTGCAAAAATTAGTTAATAAGTGAATCATTATGGTTCTTCTACTGAAAACAGGGCAAATATCAGGGATTGGAGTTGTCAGATGAATGTTGACTATAGTAATTTACATCTTCAAAAACTGTATTTAGAATGAAGAGTGGGGCAATTCAAGTGAGGTAAATACACAAGGCAACATATTACCATGTGGAAAGTATGACCTATAAAAGTGCTTATGTTAGGTATTCAGTTTCCAAAAGAAAGATAATGAAGGAAAACTGATATCATGTTTTGTGGTAGTATCTACCAGGTAGATCACTTCACATATGGTCCTGGTAATGAAAGATCACAAAAACCAGAGAACCCAAAATATGCTCTCTCAAACCTGATTTTTGGGAGAAGTTTGGGAAAAATTGGACTTTCACAGGAATTACTAACTGCCAATAGTTATCAAGCACTCCTAACCAGCTTCAGGAACATTCAGAAAATGTATTCACAGAAAAGGAGAGAAAATGAATTTATATTAGGATGATGTCCCAACTTTCTCCCTACAGTGAGGTGCAGTACAAATGGACACATTTTGCTTGTTCACATGTAGCCTTGTTCAGGGGATTTAAGAGCTAAAGGAAAAATATACAAATTTTCTATAAAAGACAAAGCAAAACTATTTTCTTAAAATGTTGCAAGATATTTACATACTCTAAACATTTTGTCCATTTTTTAGGAAAATGTCTCCAGTATATTGCCGGTTTACTATTTATTTTTTTTATCTTATTAAAATATTTTATTTAAGGGTGCTTGGTTGGTGCAATCAATTAAATGACCAATGTGGTTTTTGCTCAGGTCTTGATCTCAGGGTCTTGAGATTGAACCTGGCTCCATGCTTAGTAGAGAGTCTGCTTAAGACTCTTTCTCACTCTCTCTCTGCCCCTCCCACCTGCTCTCTCTCTCTCTAAGATAAAGATAAAATCTAAAACAAAAAAATTAATTTGTACCAAAAAATTTGTTCTTTTTAAAAAATATTCAGGTTTTATGTTTTGTTTTCAGTAGATTTTTATAACAAATTACAAAATTTTCCATCCAATTGTCTCTATTTTTAAGGTTTTAAGCTATGCACACAGAAATACACATACATTTTTATTCAAAGTTTCAAATAGTGTTAGTATGACAAACATACAGAATGATTTGTAGCTGTGAATTACCTTTTTTTCCCCCCAATTTCCCATGCTCCTGAAGACAGTAGAGATGGATTGGACCAATGAGAGCATCCAGGGAAATTTCATCCTTTTGGGGTTTTCTGACCGCCCCTATCTGGAGAGGTTCCTCTTTGTGGTCATCTTGATTGCATATCTCCTGACCCTTGTGGGCAACACCACCATCATCCTGGTGTCCCGGTTGGACCCCCACCTCCACACTCCCATGTACTTCTTCCTCACCCACCTGTCCTTCCTGGACTTCAGTTTCACCACCAGCTCCATCCCTCAGCTGCTCTATAACCTGAATGGGCGTGACAAGACCATCAGCTACACAAGCTGTGCCATCCAGCTCTTCCTGTTTCTGGGCCTGGGCGGTGTAGAGTGCCTGCTCCTGGCGGTCATGGCATATGACCAGTTTGTTGCAGTCTGCAAGCCCCTTCACTACATGGTGATCATGAATCCACAACTCTGCTTGAGCCTGGTGTCGGTAGCCTGGGTCTGTGGACTGGCCAACTCTTTGATCATATCTCCAATGACTCTGTGTCTGCCCCGCTGTGGGTACTGCAAAGTAGACCACTTCCTGTGTGAAATGCCTGCTCTGATCCTGATGGCCTGTGTCAATACAGCTGTCGTTGAAGGCATTGCCTTTATTTTGGCCGTGGGCATTGTTCTGTCACCCTTGGTGTTCATCCTGGTCTCCTATGGCTACATTGTGAGAGCTGTATTAAGTATCCGGTCATCCTCAGGGAGGCTGAGATTAGAATTGGTCAATCAGGAAATTAAAGAGGAATTAGAAAAAAATCGTGGAAACTAATGAACATGAAAATACAACTGTTTAAAACCTTTGGCACTTGGAATACAAGCCTCTTTCAAAAAATTAGAAAAAAAAAATCTCAAATATAAAGCTAACCTTAAACCTAAAGGTACTAGAGAAATAACAGCAAATAAAGCCTAAACCAAGCAGGAAGAAAACAATAAAATAAAATAAAGGTTAGAGCAGAAATCAATGAATTACTAACAAATAGAACAGTAGAACAGAACAAGAATATTCTACATGGCAAGATTATCATCCAGAATTGAAGTAGAGATAATGTTTCCTAGAGAAACAAAAATTAAAGGAGTTTATCACTAGATGAGCATTATAAGAAATATTAAAGTGATTTCAAGTGGAAAAGTAATGGTCATAATTTGGTGTAAGAGAAATATGAATAAAAAAGGTGTAAACTATATCAGCTGATACATTAAAATGTAAGAGAAAGTGAAAGAGAGTGCTTTTTAGGAAGATATTTTATGTTAAAGGAGTGGCAAAATTAATATAGACTGCTATACACCTAAGATGTTGAATATGAACCTCATGGTAACAACAACAACAACAAAAAACCACACAAAAGAAAAAGAAAGAAACCCTAACATAATGTTGAAGAAACTCATCAATCACAAGAGAACAAAAGAAGAAAGGATAGAACTACAAAAACAACCAAAAAACATATAGCCAAATGGAAATAACTACATATTTATCAATAATTACTTTAAGTATAAATGACACAAATGTTCCAATCAAAAGCCATAGGGTGCTGGACTGGATAAAGAAAGAAAAAAAAAAAAAAGACCCACCTACATGCTGCCTACAAGAGTCACCTTCACATGTGGAAGAACTCCACGGTCTGCTAATAATAGTTCACCAGTATTTGAAAACCTTCATACCTTTGGACAATAATTTTCAAATTGTGCTAATTTGCTTTATTTTATTTTATTTTTTTAAACTTAAAAAAATTTTTTAAAGATTTTATTTATTTATTTGGCAGGGAGAGAGACAGCAAGAGAGGGAATACAAACAATACAAACAGGGGGAGTATAAGTAGGAGAAACAGGCTGGATGTCTGGCTCAGTTAGATGACCTCATTCACAGTGCTGGCTGCTGGAATGGCTGGCTCATTCCAACAGGACCTATCTATTCATATTGCCTGTCAGCATTCAGCAGTGTAGTCTGAGCTCAATTTACATGGAACGTAGATCCCAAGGAAAAAAGTAGCAGCCAGGCCTCTGATGAACTGGGCCCAGGATGGGTACAGGAATATAACTGCCAAACTTTGTTGACCAAAGTGAGTCACATGACCAGATCGTATTGAAAGGTTCATCTGTGGATGGAGGGGGCCTACAGACATGCGTAGGATGGAGTTACCAGTAATAGTCATTTTTGGAATTTTGCCATTGACCACTCTGCCCAATACTGTTTTGCTGGTCCCTTCTCCTCAGTCTGATTTCTAAACATTAATTCATTTTAGGATTTAGTTCAAACTAAACACTGAGCAGGGAGCCTGATATGGGGCTCAATCCCAGGGCCCTGGGATCATAACATGAGCCAAAGGCAGACACTTAATGCCTGAGCTACCCAGGCACCCCTAATTTGTTTTATTTAAAATGCTTTTCCAAAAATGACAAAGAACAAGAAAGCATAGCAAGACATTCTTGGTTATGTCTACAACACTATTTCAATTTTCCAGTTCAAAACTACATTATACCTTCTTTCCACTCCTCTATCAACTTACATTCCCTGCCATCATTCAACATCTCACTATGCTTCAACTTGTGACTAATTATTACATTGTAATGAGGAAAAAGAGTGAATAACTCTGTGCATTATCTCCATAAAAAATACATACTCTTGCTTCTGTTTATATATACACTATATTTTACCCTATCACAACTGAAATGTACTGGTTCCTATTGAAAGCCTTGAATTCACCAAGATTTGCCATTTTTTAAAGACCTGTTCTCATACTAAATACATCTCCTGGCATCTATATATCCTTCTTCTGTATTTACATATTCACTTCAATTTATAAAACCATTTAGTATATCCTATTTTTAAATGAATAAAAACATTCCATGAGGCATTGCCTCACTTAAGTGTTTTGTTTTCTGTACCACAGAGTATTCTAGCAAAACTTTCACTTTTTCATCTTCTTTCTTTCTTCACTACAATCCAAATGGGATTTAGTACTCAACTGATCCTCTCAAACCATTGTCAACATCACCAACATCTCTTTTTGGGTCACTTACATGCTTTCTCTTTTAAGATTTTTTAGCAGTATTTCAAACACTTGATGACCCCATTTAGAGTTAGTTTCAAAAAACAAAAACAAAAACAAACAAACAAAACCCCACTACTTATTTTCCTTTCAGTTGCTGGTCATTATTTATTTCTGCCAACCAAACCATCTTCAAACCTAGTGGAAACTACATTATTAATGTTGTCATTTATGCATCAGAAGTCTTGACAGGGCTTAGCAGGAATGGCTCATCTTTGTTCCATGTCCTTGCTGTGTAGACCATTTGCAAAGCTATATTTCTATGCTGGTTTTCTTCTCTCTCATTTGTAATTTTATTTATTTAATTACTTTGTATTATCTTTTTGATAAATCTAGCTAAAAACTATCAATTTTTTTATTATTTTTTTCAAACAACCAGATCCTGGTTTTATTGATGTCCCTTTTTTTTATTTTTTAAGTTTCTATATCATTGATTTATGCTCTTAATCTTTATTATTTTTTCCTTCTGGCATTAGGCTTTGTTTTTTCTTTTTTGTAGCTCCTTAGGTGTAAGATTAGGTTGTTTATTTGAGATTTTCCTTGCTTCTTTACATAAGCCCATATTGCTACATACTTTCCCCCTTGGGACCACTTTTGCTGCATTCATAATGTTTTCAACTATTCTATTCTTATTTTTATTTGATTACATGTATATTTTATTTTCTTTCTGATTTCCTGGTTGAACCATTCATTTTTTTTAGTAGCATGCTGTTTAACCTCCCTGTATTTGTGGTCTTTCCAGATTTTTTCTAGAAGTTGACTTCTAGGTTCATAGTGCTGGGGTCAGAGAAATTGTGTGGCATGACTTCAATCTTTTTCTGTGTTGAGGACTGTTTTGGGATCTAACACATGATCCTTTCTGGAGAGTATCCCATGTACACTTGAAAAGAATGTCTATTCTTCTGTTTTAAGATGGAAGGCTTTGAATATATTTGTTAAATCCATCTGGTCCAATGTGTCATTCAATGCCATCATTTTGTCATTTATTTTCTTTTTACATGATCTGTCCATTGATATAAGTGGGGTATCAAAGTTCTCTACTTTTATTTTATTGTAATCAATTAGTTTCTTTATGCTCATTCTTAATTGTTTTATATATTTGGGTGCTTCCAGGATGGTTGTATAAATATTTTCAATTGCTTTCTCTTTTGTGGGATTGTCCCCTTTTTTGGTGATACCATGCACTTTGTCTCTTATTACGGTCTTTGTTTTAAAGTCTAGTTTGTCTGATATTGGTGTTGTTAATCCAACTTTCTTTTATCATCTATTTCTGTGATAAATGACTCTCCATCCCCTCATTTTCAATCTGCAAGTGTCTTTAGGTCTAAACTAAGTCTCTTGTAGGCAAAAGGTAGATGGGTCTTGGTTTTGTTGTTGTTGTTGTTGTTACTGTTGTGTGTTTGTTTTTGTTTTTGTTTTGTTTTGTTTTGTTTTGTTTCCCATTCTGACACTCTGTATCTTTTGACTGGAACAATTAGTTTATTTACATTCAGAATAATTATTGATAGATATGTATTTATTGTCATCTTATTACTTGTTTTGTCATTGTTTCTGGAGATTTTCTGTTTTCCTTTCTTGTTCTTTTCACTTTGGGTCTCTCCTTTTCACTCAATGTATCCTTTTTAATATTTCTTTAAGTGCTGTTTTAGTGGTCATGAACTATTTTCATTGTTGTTTGGTTAGGAAGCTCTTTACCTCTCCTTTTATTCTGAATGATAACCTTGCTGAGAAGTTTTCTTGGTTGCAGATTTTTCTCATTCAGCACATTGAATATTTGATACCACTCTTCTGGCTTGCCAATTTTCTGTTGAGTAATCTCCAACTAGCCTTATAGATCTTCCATTGTAAGTGAAGGATTTCTTTTCTCTTGTCACTTTTGAGGTTTTTTTTTCTTTATCATTATATTTTGCAAATTTAATTACAATATGTTTTGGTATTAACTTGTTTTTGTTGATTTTGCTGAGAGTTCTCTGGGCTCCTGGATCTGGATGTCTGTTTCCTGCCCAAGTTAGGGAATTTTTGAGCTATTATGTCCTCAAATAAATTTCTTCACACTTTTCTCTCTCTTCTTCTGGGACTCCTATAATGCAAATGTTATTACTCTTGATGGAGTCATAGAGTTCCCTAGATCTATTCTCATGTTCCATAATACTTCTTTCTCACTTTAATTCAGCTTCATTATTTTCCATTATTTTCTCTTCTTTTTTTTTCTTAAGATTTTATTTATTCATTTGAAAGAAAAAGGAAGAGAGCAAGAGACCTCAAGCAGGAGGAGGAGCTGAGGGAGAGGGACAAGTAGATTCCCTGGTGACCAGGGAGCCTGATGTGGGGTTTGATCCCAGGACTCCAGAATCATGATCTAAGCTGAAGGCAGATGCTTTACTGATTGAGCCACCCAGGCATCTCCATCATTTTGTCTTCTATATCACTTATTTATTCCTCTGCTTCTCCTAGTTCATTACATCAAGCTTTTTTCCATTTACAGTTTTTGCATTTGTCATTTCTGACTGATTCCTTTTATTCAATTCTTTTATCTCTGAAGTAAGGGGCTTACTAATGTCTCTGTCTCTGTCTTTCTCTCTCTTTTTTAAACTAAATCCCAGCATGTATCATTATTATTGCTGCTTTAAATTCTCCATCAGGTGTATTACTTATATCTGTTTTGGTTAGTTCTCTGTTGTGGGCCTTATATTATCCTTCAGTTTGGGATGATTTCCTCCAT